CCCCCCCGCCCCATGCTTGCTCTCTTTCTCTCTCAAAAATAATAAACATTTAAAAAAATTTTTAAGTGTATATCTTGATATAATTTGATAAATATAGCTGAAAAACCATCACAATATAGTGAACCTACCCATCACCTATAGGGATCACTGCCCCTTTACTGCCTGACGTCCACTGTCATGAAAACAGTTATTTCCTGGATTTTATCGGTTTCCTTTTTCAGTTTTTTTTTAAGGCAGGTAGGTAGATCTGGTCTCTGCTACCATATCCTGGGTGGATACAACTGTCCTGCTATCACTTGTTTTCTATTTGTAGTTTTTTACACAGTGAGCTTGCTAATTCACCATTTTTAGTAACTTCTCCATAAGTTTTTTTCACTTTTCCATGCAATGATACCACCTACCAATAATGAGTTGGCACTTCAATCTTCCAAGTTTTAGGCCTTAAACTTTGTTCCTTTTTGCCTTACTGACAAGCTAGAGCCTTCAGTCATATGTGAAACAGAAGTGGTAACAAGCATTCTTATCTCATTAATATCAGGAAAATATAGGTCAATATTTATTTATTTAGTATAATATTTGCTGTATGTTGGTTTCCTTTTGTGTTTGATGAACTTTCCTTCCGTTCCTAGTTTTGTTGGTTTTTAACCATGAAAGTTTTTACCAAATACGTTTTCTGCATCTATTGAAATAATCAAATGGCTTCACTTATTTTTTCTACTAATGTGGTAGGTTACATCAACTACCTTAAACTTGTAAATATTTATTCTGAAATGACTTCACACTTAAAAAAGTCACAAGTGCAGTACCAAAAAACTCCCATATCCCCCTCAGTCAGATTCTCCTAACCGCACTGCATCTCCTCCATCAGTCCTATGCGCTGTGTGCGCATGCGTGCGCACAGGCACACGCGCTCTCGCTCTCTCTCTTAGCCTTTGTCTAAAGCATTTAAAAATAAGCTGCAGAGGCACCTGGGTGGCTTAGTTGGTTAAGCGTCCAACTTCGGCTCAGGTCACGATCTCCTGGTCTGTGAGTTCGAGCCCCGTGTCGGGCTCTGTGCTGACAGCTCAGAGCCTGGAGCCTGCTTCGGATTCTGTGCCTCCCTCTCTCTGTCTCTGCCCCTTCCCCACTCAGTCTCGCTCTCAAAAATAAACATTAAAAAAAATTAAAGCAAGCTGCAGCCATGAGGCTCCATTACCTCTACATATTCCAGTGTGTATTCTCCCCAAAGGCACTAACCTATAGAACCACCCAGCAATCATCCACATCAGGAAACAAACATTGATAAACATGACCATCCAATCCATACACTGAATTTTGCCAACTGTTCTACCAATGTCTGGTCTTCATTTTTATTTTAAAATTATCTCCAGTCACCTCTAATCTGAAACAGCCTCTCAGTCTTTTTCGTATCTTTCACATAATAAAAAACTATAGGCTTTGCATTCACTAAAATAACCATTCATATGGATTCACCTGATGTTTCCTCCTAAATAAACATAGGTCAAGCTTTCTTTTCTTTTTTCTTTTAAGTAGACTCTACACCCAGTGTGGAGCCCAACACAGAATTTAAACTCATGACCCTGAGATCAAGACCTGAGCTGAGATCAAGAGTTGGACACCTAACTCACTAAGCTATCCAGGCATCCTACAGGTTGTGCTTTCTTGGCGAAAATACCACACAAATGATGCTGCCTCTTCTCAGTGCATCTCATCAGGGGACACATCATGCTGACCTGTCCTACTCCACTGGTGAGGTGAACTTTGATTGCCTGATCATGCTGGTGTCTGCCAGGTTTAATCACAAAATCACCCTTTCACCTCTGCAGCTGATGGGTATTTTGTGGGGAGATATCTGAAGATTATGCCATATCCTGTTCTTCATCAAAGCTCTACTCACAGACTCTAGTCTATGCTGACAACTACCTCCTGAATCAACTGCCCCTCCAATGGTTGCCCAATGGTGTTTTTCTATGTCCATTATTCTCCCTACATTTATTAACTGGCATTCTTCTGTACAAGTCTTCCCTTCTCCTTTATGAATTTACAAATTTATCTATATCACTATACATTAATGGACTCCCATTTTATTAATGGGAATTAATAATTCTGACGCTATGTTCAAACTGTCTCAAATCTGGCCAGTGGAACCTGACCAAGGTGGTTCTTTTGACTCCATGATTATTTGAACATTTTTTTACTGTCTGGCAGGTAAGATGATTCAGGTTCATCGTGTATTTCTCCCCATCTTTTACCTGAAACCAGCCATCACTCCGGAGACAGTCCCTTTTTTGGTGGAGGACAGCATTTAGACATTAGTAACCTGGCATTTGGTGTGCACACTGCTCCTGGGGTGTCACTGTGTGTAGGCCCTCTCAGCAGACAGATCCATCTCACACACACACCACACACACACACATTTCTGTGAGTTACATTCCAATCCAACACCCCGGGATTTTCTAACTTTCCCCTCTCCATTTTCATGAAAACTTTCTCTGATCTGGCTCTCATCATCCTCAGCACATTTTCTCATCTGCTCAATGTTATTGATACTTTAGCCACGATGATCATCTCTTCCAGTTGCATTCAACACCTCTGATGCAAGTGTGCACATCACCACACCTTTCTCATCCTTTGTGGCAAGCCTGTTCTGACTTCCACTCTAGGAATGGAAGGCAGAAGAGAAACACAGAAAGCACAAGGGAGAAGGGAGAACGTGAGAGAAAGAAGAACTGGCCAAATCGATTTAATTTTAAATAGTAAATCCTTTGATTCCCCTAATAAACATTACTTGGTCCATGGATATGACTGGATTTTTTTTTTTAATTTAAGATTATGCACCTTAATTCATAAAATATTGGTAACTTTACTTTCCTGAAATGTCTTTTACAGGTTTTGGTATCAAGGTTGTACCATGCCCCCAAAATGAATTAGAAAAGTTCCATCTTCCATTCTCTGGAAAAGGTCATGGGAGCTTCCTATTATTTCCTTCTTAAGTATTTGGAATAACTGCAGTGAAAGCATCTGTACTCAGAGTTTTCTTTCTGGGCAGTTTTGGGTTTTTTTTTTAATATCAGGTATCATTTGTACAACTGACCTCTGGTATGACCTTACCTTTACTGATAGCATGCTGTGCTCGCCAAGGGCCCATCCTACTAACAGTTCCAATCATTTTTTAGAACTGAATTCCAATCGTTTTTTCTGTCCTGAATAAAATCGACTTTCGGCCTAGCTTTTCAGGCTCCTTCCCGTCCTGAATCTTCTAAAAATTTGAGAAACTAGCTACGAGGCTTAAGCCTCTAATGTTGAAGAAATTTTCACTCCAGCCTTGACTGCTGAAAGTTCTGCTGGCTTCTGGTCTCCGCCCTCTCGCTACGAGCTTCACCCTCTACCTGAGCCAAGCTCAGGACTCAGGTTCCTCTGTGCCCAAAGCTGGCAAATGCTCCCAGGGGAAACAGGTGCATTTTGCCCGGGGAACTTTCTGTGACTCACTCCTCTCCTGAATTTTACCTTTAGTCCTCTTTGCTCCTGCAGCAATAAGCTGCATTGAAACAGATGCTTTTTGTGATGTTTCTCTAGTTGTTCTCATTAGGGCACCGACCTGCTACAAGTTACTACCCAGCACTGGAATCTACTTGTGCTTTTTAATTTACTTATTTTTACTTGTGCTTTTTTAAAGCTTTATATTTAAGAATGCATTTTTAAATGTTTATTGAGAGAGGGGAGGGAGAGAGAGAGGGAGAGGGAGGGAGAGAGAGAGAGAGAGAGAGAGAGAGAGAGAGAGACAGGCTGAGAGAGATAATCCCAAGCAGGCTCTGTGCTCTCAGCATGGTGCCTAACATGGGGGTCAAATTCCCAAACCATGAGATCACAACCCGAACCAAAATCAAGAGCTGAATGTTTAACCAAATGAGCCACCCTGGTGCTCCAAAGAATACATTTTTGTATGTGACTATTACGTTTTTTGGAAATTGTTACATCACCTATGAAGGTATTAAGTATGTGGAGAGACAGAGTGGGGTATGACAAGTAACCCCAGCAGGGTGACACTGAGACAAACGTAAACGCCTGCCAGGGAAGAGACCACCTATGCTTCATGCACGCTCACTTCTACTGCCTCCACTAAATTGTGCGTGCAGCAACCCACCTTTCCCCTCTGACCCCCTAGGCCAGGATGAGCCGCTCTCAACAGTCTGCCCCAGAAGCATGAACACATCCTGCTGGCAAGCTGCCCGTCCATGAGCCAACAATCCAGAACCTCTCTCTCTACCTGGGCATCCGAAAGTCCTCCTGGTGGGTCCTCTTGCTAAAAATCTTCTCTTCTTCTGCAGATGCATGAGCCTCTGACTTGCTTCCAACTGCTGGTCCCAGCGTGCTGTGTTTTCACATCTAATACCTTAAACAGTGGGGAATAACAAGCCCGGCAATGGGCCAAATTGCATCTCAACAAAAATACAAAGCTATTTCTAAATGAAAACCATCCTCCACCTTAAATTGCCAGAGATCCTTCAATTCAAAATATCTGATGCATAAGCTTAGATTTTTAACTTAAAGCTCCCACACATTTAAAATAATGTATTTTGTCTAGAAACTACTGATATCCACTGAGATGCTAAACACAACTAATAAAATAGCACAATGCTTTCCTATAGCTTCCTATAATCTGTGCATGTTCTATAGCCTGTGGATCAAGTATTTTCTACCCTATGAGCATTAATAGAGGTTTCTAACTTGTGAGGTGTGGCTTTGGGCGATTTGCTGATAAGGTATTCTCCACTCTGAGATTTCTGATATAGTCTATGGTTCAAATTCCAGCACTAAAATTTTCTATATTCAGTAGCTTCATATTATTCTCTCCCCTCTATAAGCTCTCTGCTGTATTGTGAGAACTGACTTTAGACCTAAGATGTTTTCAAAATCATTACAGCAACAGATTTTTCTCCCCTTTTGCATTCTTTTTCTATAAAATCTTGACTTCACCCAGAGTGATTTCCCCCATTTATTACATTTATAGGGTTTCTCCCCAAATGTGTTCGTTGATGTACAGTGAGTTTTGACTTCACATAAAATGATTTTCCACATACATTACATTCATAGGGTTTTTCCCCTGTGTGTGTTCTATGATGTGCAATGAGTTTTGACTTTACACAGAATGATTTCCCACATTCATTACATTCATAGGGTTTCTGTCTTATGTGAGTTCTCTGATGAACAATTAGGGCTGACTTCTGACGGAAGTTTTTCCCACATTCATTACATCCAAAAGGTTTCTCCCCTGTGTGTCTTCTCTGATGTTCTGTGAAACCCGAGTAGTAGCAGAAAAATTTCCCACATTCAATACATTCATAGGGTTTCTCACCTGTGTGAGTTCTCAGATGTTTGGTAAGGGTTGACTTCTCAGAGAAGGATTTCCCACATTCATTACATTCATAAGGTTTCTCCCCTGTGTGAGTTCTTCGATGTTTAATGAGGTCTGATTTTCTAAGAAAGGCTTTCCTACATTCATAACACTCGTAGGGCTTCTCCCCTGTGTGTGTTTTCTGATGTACAGTAAGGACTGACTTGAACGAGAAGGCTTTCCCACATTCACGACATTCATACGGTTTCTCCCCTGTGTGTGTTCTTCGATGTTGAGTGAGGGTTGACTTTTCACTGAAGGATTTCCCGCATTCCTGACATTCAAAAGGTTTCTCCCCTGTGTGAATTCTCTGGTGTTTAATGAGGTCTGAATTCTTGTAGAAAGTTTTCCCACATTCCTGACATTCACAAGATTTTTCCCCTGTGTGTGTTCTCTGATGTCTTGTGTGGGCTGACTTCTGGTTGAAGGTTTTTCCGCAATCATGACACTCATAAGGTTTTTCTCCTGTGCGTGTTCTCTGTTGTACACCAAAGACTAGCTTTTCACTGAAAAACGTTCTACATTCATTATATTCAATCACATTGTCAATTGAGTGGCTTCTCTGAACTGGAATGAGGTTTGACTTCTGGCTGAAAGGCTGAACACTCTGATGCTCAAAGAGAATGGATTCCTCAAAGAAATTTTCTCCACATTCATTAAATTCATACTGATTCTCTCTTGGATGTGTTCTCTGATGAGCCATGAGGGATGACATATCACAGAAGATCTTCCCATAATCAGTGTGTTCACAGGAGTTCTTTCCTGTGTAAGTTTTCTTATGTACAACAAAGAGTGAATTCTCATGGAAAGCTTTCCTACATTCACTGTACTCAAAAGGTTGCTCCAAAATCTGAATTTTCTGACGGTGAACAAAATCTTCATTAAGATGGAGGCCATTCCCGTTTTTATTATATTTATAAAGTTTCTCTTCAGAATAAATTCCTTCATGCTTATCATTATGGAGCCAATTTCTACCTTTGTTAAACTCATTGAACTTCTTTCTTGAATAGTTTCTACTGCTATTAATTAATTCTGAAATATAAATAGAGTGACAAGGAAGATTAGTTGACAGGAAAATTAGGAGAAACAGAATTAGTTAGGTTTTGGGGAGTGGGTAAGTTTAGGTCATTATCTTCTCACATCTAGATTATGACAACAGTATACACATTTCCAGTCTCATCTCTCTCTTCCATTCTACACAACAGCAACAGATCAAATTTCTAAGAACTCTAATTCAAAAGAGAACAGTACTATAACCCAATCTCTAATATCTAATTCTGTTACTAGCTCTAAATCACTAGCAATAAAAACATACAACAAAATAGCAAAATCAATGAGTGGTCAAGCCAGCCTTGCCACAGGATCAGATTTACAGCTCTTTTCTGATTTATAGATATTTTCCTTTATTCCATCTGAGTTGTTCAATAGTGAACCATCAAACCCTCTTCCAATGCTTTCTGGCTTTTCCCCAACCAAATCTCACCTGATTTAACATTAGTCTTCAATCCTGCATACACACACACACACACACACACACACACTTCTATATCTTTGCAAAACATGAAAACCTACAATTCTAAACCTGGTCCTAAAACTGTCATTTACCTTTACTTTAATATTTTTTTGGTTATGCATGCTCACCTTTACTCCTCTGCTATCTACAATACTATATTTGTAATGATATATCATATGATACTGTACAAAACCCATAATAATACTATTGAGTCCAACAACCTAAGAACTGACAATATTTTTTACAATGGTATCACACTGAAGAGAACATATCAGTTATATCCGGATTCAGCTTAGAATCAAGCTGTCAATTTACAAATCTAGAATGAATATATTTTACTCTGGTAAGCCCAGCTGTTTGTCCCTTATAAATTGCTCATTCTCATTCATAATCTTATATTCTTTCACTCCGTTAGCTTACAGTCCAATAATGTTTTTAAAAAGTTGCCTTCCCAAATCTCCCCATAATTTTCAGCCTTATTTGTTAAAAAAAAAAAAAAAAAAAAAAAGACCTAAAACATAAGCAAACATTTCTCCAAAGAAAACATATGGATAGATGGTCAACAGACACATGAAAAGATGCTCAACATCACTCATCGTCAGGGAAATGCAAATCAAAACCACAATGAGATATCACCTCACACCTGTCAGAATGGCTAAAATAAAAAATACATAAAACAACAGGTATTGGTGATGATGCGGAGAGAAAGGAACCCTCATGCACTGTTGGTGGGAATGCAACCCGGTACAGCCACTGCGGAAAGCAGTATGGAGATTCCTCAAAAGAGTTAAAAATAGAACTACCCTATGATCCCGCACTCACAGTACTGGGTACCTACCCAAAGAATACAAAAATACTAATTCTAAGGGATACATGCACCCCAATGTTTATAGCAGCATTATTTACAATAGCTAAGATATGAAAGCAGCCCAAGTGTCCATCGATAGATGAATGGATAAAGAGGATGTGGTATGTGTGTGCACACACATACATACAACGGAATATTACTCAGCCATCAAAAAGAATAAAATCATGCCATTTGCAACAACATGGATGGAGCTAGAGAATGCAACGGTAAGTGAAATAAACCGGTCAGAGAAAGACAAATACTGTATGATTTCACTTGTATGTGGAATTTAAGAAACACAACAAACAAGCAAAGGGGGGACAAAAGGGAAAGAAACCAAGAAACAGATTCTTAACTATAGAGAACAAACTGATGGTCACCAGAGGAGAGGTGGGTGGGGGGATGGGTAAAATAGGGGATGGGGATTAAGGAGTGCACCTGTCGTGATAAGCACTGGGTGATTAAAATAAAAAGTTTAAAAAAATCTGTTTGTATAATTTACTTTACCACAAACATGAACTACACTGCGGTAACACTGTCTTTGTTAAACACTAATTTTTTTTTAAAATGTTTATTCATTTATTTTGAGAGACAGTGTGTGTGAACAGGGGAGGGACAGAGAGAAAGGGAGAGAAAGAATCCTAAGCAGGCTCTGTGACATCACCGCAGAGCCTGACAAGGGGCTCAATCCCACGAACCACTAGATGACCTAAGCCAAAATCAAGAGTTGAACACCCAATCGACTGTGCTCCCTAAGCACCCCAAATACTAAATTTTTAAATATTTCATGCAGCTCTGATTTTCATTCAACTATGTTTCTGGCAGCCATAACTCTACCTATGATTTTCTTTCAACACTGAACAGATATGAAGTCAATGGTATTTAACAAACGGTTTTTAACAGAATTAACTGCACAGCTTTACCAAACACAAATTTTAGGCATCATACTGAAAGGTTTAGTGGTTTAACGTCTGTACTTTTAAAAATACTTCTGGGGCACCTGGGTGGCTCAGTCAGTTAAGCGTCTGATTTTGGCTCAGATCACGATCTCATGGTTTGTTGGGTTTGAGCCCCTGACAGTGCAGAACCTGCTTGGGATTCTCTCTCTTCCCCTTTCTCTGCCCCTCTCCCACTCATGCTATCAAAATAAGTAAATAAACTTAAAAAAAAAACTTCTGTAAAAAAAACAGCGAATATGGTAAAATGTCACTGAAAACTTTTTAAAAAGCATGTATAGAATAATGTATTTAATATTATGACATTAATAATGTTAGTTTATAATGAAAATAAGTATTTAAATGCTATTAACACATCCATATAAACCCCATCAAAAATGTCCTGTTCATCTGAGGGAGATGACACGGGGTTGGCTTTCACACTCCATAGTAAATTTTAAAATGAGTGTGTGCTACTTCTGATAAGAAGAAACAATGATGATAATAGACACGATTTTTTTCAGTCTCTATGTCAGTGTACACAGAATAAATCAGAGTCTAACAAATCTTACATGATTGATGAGCTGGCATGTAAGTTTGTAAAGAATTTGTGGTAATGGCTTTCTGCATTATTATGAAAATCTGGCTCTGTGTGGCTCCACGGTCAAGCAAAATCATTAATGTGTAATACTAGATTTTTAAGAAGTGAAACCAAGATCTTTCTCTTTGGAGGATCAAAATACTGATAGGAAGAGAAGCCTCTATAAACTATAATTACCTAACTATATGACCAGGAATTAATTTCCTGATGGGCATACATGGAACGAGAAGTATGCTGAGGAGTCTCTTGGCAAATATAAAACATGTGATGAACACAAGAAGCCATTACTCAATGTCAGGCACTCTTTCCACACCTTGTTTTCTGTTTAGGTTTCTCATTTACAACCTCCATGTTTCCTACTTCTTTTCAGCAATATCTTTTTGTTTTTCCTAGATTTTTATGTAATGTCTACACCCAACATGGGGCTTAACTCACAACCCTGCGATCAAGCATCTTCTGTTCCCCCGAGTGAGCCGGCCAGGCACCCCTGCAATATCTTTTCTACCTCTGTTTTTTTTTTTTTAATTGTATTTTGATTACTGCAGTGATTTTATTCTTTTTTTTCAATTATTTCCTATGATATAACATAGAATTATTTCCTATGATATAATAACATAGAATTATTTCCTATGATATAACACAGTTCATAACACACCTTCCTGTGGTCTTACTATCTCCTTCAGAATGAATTACCTGCCTCTCTTATGTTCTCGTACACCAGAAACCATGTTTCATTGTTAATTTATATTAAAAACTAGTGACAATATTCAGACATTACACGATAACATTTTCAAGTGAATTATTTTTCACCTGCCACTTGCTTGTCCTGTCTTCTCCTGTTTCTCATAATAACTTTGAATCCATCTCGTGTTATGTTTCTTAACAAGGGCACTGCATGCTCTCCTCAATCTTTACTATGGTCTCCAACCAACCGAGAGAAGTCTTTGGTTTGTTTCAAGTATCAAAGTCTTCTGCACTTTCTACCACTTCACAGATGGCCTGCATCTTTCCAACAGAGCTTGTGTGTGTGAGTCCTCATCCAGCCCCCAGTGTGGAGTCCACTCCAGCCCTCTGCTTCTCACAAAGAAACTACAGAGATCTACCAGCATCCTAAAAGTCCTTCCTCCTGTTCTGTAAGATGAGGTTCGACGATCCAAGGTCACACCTTTGGACGTGGCAGCTGGGCACACACCTCCACCCCGTTTTTCCCTGCTCTTGGCAACCCTTCACTTGTTCTGTTGTTGACAGTTAAGCTTTCTGCTTGTTCTTTCAAAGTGGGGTTTGACTGGCAGGTCTTAGCTCTTCCTGTTTCTAAGAAGTCAAGGTTAAAATGCCAACTTTATGTTTCTGTCTTCAAGCCTGAGGTCCTTTACTTCTCCTTGAAATTCTTCTCTGGCCTCCAGAGTATCACCTTCTCTCAAATTTACTCCATCCTCACAGACTCCCCCACCGTCCCCACTGCTCAGTCCTCATCGTCATCACTTCTAAACCACATGGTGCCCCAGGATTCAGCCACAAGCCCACACCTCTGGTTTATTTGCACTCATGAGCAAGAAGCTCTCATACAGCTCCCACGACTGAACATCTCCACACAGCCGGCATCCACTCGTCTCTCCAGTTCTGCCCTAACAGAATGCATATTGTTACATACAGTGTAACCCCTAAAAGGATAATAATTTTTTAAAAGACTATATAACTAGTCTATATAAAAGACTATATAACTATAAAAAGCTAATAGAGGCAAAAGAAAGTAATAATTAAAAAACCCAAAAGGAGTTGTGAAAGGAGAAATAACAGAAGAAAGAAGAAATGGTACATAAAGACACGAAATAGGACTGCAGGCTTAAGCCCAATTATACCAGTAAACATAAATGGACTGAACAGTCTAAACAAGAAATTTAAAATGTCAGACTAGATTTAACAACAACTAGAGTGTGGTAAGGCTGGCAGTAAAGGATGAAACAGAATATATCCTACAAACTCTAAAGAAAAGAAAGCTGGTGTGGCGATGTTAATACCAGAAATGGACTCGAAGGAAGAGCATCACTGCGTATACGGAGACAGGCACCACATAGTGGTTCAAGAGTCCATTAAAAGGTGAGACATAACAATCGTAAATTTCTGTCTGCCTAATAA